CCCATCATCAGTTAACAAAAAACAAAACAAATGAACCAAATACTCTTGTAGACTATATGTATATACAGTAGGTAATTATCATGCTGAATATTAAAGAGATAGATTGATTTGTTTGACAATAAGTTTGACCAGCTATAGTAACTCTAAAATCTGGACTAAGTGTAGCTAATTATTATTCTGAATATATAATTGAATACCGTGATTTGTTTAACCAAAGGTTAGTAAAGCAATAGTAAGTCTATAATATGGACAAGTGTAGCTAATTGTTATGTAAAATATATAATCAGGTACATTGATTTGTTTGACAAAAGGGTGTGAAGCTATAGTCAAATGCAAGGTAACAAGTGCTTGCATTATAACTATTGCTTACGTGTATATTTAAATAAGCTTTAAGTTAACATGTTTAATCTGCAAATTAAGATCAGGATTGTTCCATTTTATGTAAAGGGATTCTTTGATTTTCAATTTGATTTCATTGTTATCAATATCCAGTATAGAGAAACATTTCTTGTCAGACAACCTTTTACATTTACTGTTTGCGTTGAGGTGTTTAAGTACGTGTGAATTTTTATCCTTTCCAAGATGTTCACCAATCCTCGTAATTAATCTACGGACTGTATGACCTATATAACTGGAATTACATCCAGCACATTTAAATTTATATACTACTGAGGATCGGGATTCATTGGGGATAGTATCTTTAGTACTAAAGAACTGACTGATTTTAATGGTACTAAATATCACATGTACTTTACAATCAATACAGTATTTTTTGACAAGATCCATGATTCTGCATTTCATGTTGTCTGAAAATATGCCAATATATGGAAGTTTAACAAAAAGTGTTTTTACATTGTCATCATTGACAGTTTTCTTTGTAATATCAGAGATTGTGTTATCTAAATAGTTTTTAATAGACTTGTCAACAATGTGAATTGGGTAACCATTTCGTAGTAAGATATTTTTCAGGTCACAAAGATCATTATGTAGGCATTATATAAGTGCTTTTCCAAGAGACCAAAAAAGGCGCTGTACAAAAATAGATTTAGTATTATACAATTTAAAGTACATTAAACATATATAATTTACACATTCGAAAAATTATAAAGAAATTAGAAAGTTGTGCAAAAGAGATTACAAATAAATATACAAAAATAACCATCACAAAAATTATAAAAAAATACTATTATGAATTAGAAAAAAGATGCATTTTACGGAGTTTTTTAAACACTGTACGTTAAAAGCCCCGCGAACACTATTTGTAAAATTGTTCCACAGTCTTGGCTGCAGAACAGAAAACCTCCAAATGATCGTTTTAAATAACTTCTCTTGTTTAATATAAGAAAAAAAAACCCTAAATACAACCGGGACTGATTTTGGGTGTGCATAATCTTACTATTCAAAATAGATGTCTTTGTTATATACACAATTTTAGCTATACATCACTTGAGGATTATTACTTTAAAACTATTGGTGATGGCGTCCTTGCAATTTTAGAGTGGTTTCAACCTCAACCAATGTAATAGCATGACTGCTTTTCTATAACTGGACTAAAGCCGAAACTCTTTTCAAAGTAAACTTATTTACTTTTTTTAAATTCTTTTAAATAACTTCTCTTGTTCAATATAAGAGAAACAAACTAAATACAACCTGAAATAGTTTTCAGTGTGCATAATATTATTATTCAAAATAGTTGTCTTTTATATTTTGTTTATATACTATTTGTTAAATAGTAGAACTATAATAGTTTAATAACTATACTTCACTTGAGAAATATTACTTTAAAACTATTGGTGGCGGCGTCCTTGCACGTTTGAATGGTTTGAACCTCAACCAAAGGATACAATGACTACTTTTCTATAACTGGACTGCAGTCGAAACTGTTTTAAAAGTAAAGTTATTTTCTTTATTTTTAGTTTTTACCTTCTTTCATGCCTTGTCAGCAGCATCATTGAGCAGTAGAAAGAATACTAAAGCAACATATCGGGCAATTAGATGCTACATCATTTTCATGAAGTAACATCTAATATTAATATTAATGCTCTTGTATTAACACAACATTTCAAGTACTGTAGTACACATCAAATATTCCTCAATGAATGACAACTCCAAAACTGTTAGGTCTTACCTCTTGTCGTCCTCTAACGAGTCCTATGACAGCACCTTTAGTTAGCAGCTGTGCAACATCTGCAACTGAGACTTGTTTCGCTTCACGCAACTTTACGAAGTGATTTAACATGTTTCCATCAAAGAGTGGGAGACCACAGAATTGAATTCGTTGTGGGCTTGATGGCCTGAAACAATGAGGGAAAACAGTAAATATATACCATTTTAAAATTACGTATTTTACGACTGACTTGAAGCTACAGGTTGCTGAGCACAAAATCTTAATAATTATTATTTAATAAAAACAAAAACTGAAAGAATATAGATATTAGAGACTGTCTGCAATATACTTACGGAACAATAATCCAGGCTCCACCCACTGATATCCCACAATCATTCGGTGCTGAGGCTACGTGGACAGGGTAACCAAACTTGCTGACTATTACTTGATTGGCAGGAACATTCTAATAACGAAACCTTATATTATTGAATAGTCTTGATTCCTAGGCTATACTACCTAGTCCAGGGGTATATTCTCTTGGCTGTACTAAACGGATTACATGTCCAAAATTAGAAGTAAACTCACCAATGCACAACCACCGCTTAAAACGATACCATCAAGTTTTGCACTGCCAACAATAGAGGTGTATCGATTAAGAAACAAATCAATCTTTTCACAAATTAACAGAGTAAATACATATTGACTCGTGGCAGATACATCCATCGCATTCTGTCCATCAAGTGCATTTTCTTCCAGCGACTAAAACGAAACAGTATTAGATGTAAGGTAATCATTTTCTTAGCTAAACTGGTTTATCCACTGTGAGTACACTGAAATATACAGATCCTCGTTTTTCTTTTTGTGTTTTAACTAGTATAGAGTGCTGGAAAGTTGTGCAACCTACAAAACGTGTTGTAATAAGTGTAATTCATTTAAGCAAGAGGTAAATGGCTTCAGCAATTGAACTTTCGAATTAGGTCTCTGAAGGTATTTGAGAATTTATGCTTTTTAAACATTTACCCAAACAAATCAACTAATGATCAATAATTTGAAAAACAAGGGAAACAAGAGAGATACAGAGGTTTTACAATATTGGGTGAGAGGGATTCACTTCTCTAGATCTTTCATTACTACTATAAATTATAGGACTTGGAATTCACGCATAACAAACCTTTTTTTCTTGCCAAATGTATTGATCCTGTTTACAAATACTCACCAGTCCTATTTTGTGCCCAAGCTGGAACGACATGCCTATTTCATTGGTATAGAGCTTATAGTATTCCTTGAATGCTGGGATCCATTCTTTACGGACGTTACCCAGAGCTGAGTATCCCATCATCTAAATGCGAAATAATAATAATCAGGTACCGTACTCAGCAAATACAAAATGTTAAACAACATTCTCTAACATTGTGAAAGTTTTTCATGCGAGAAAATAACTTGATTACAACTTCATTTAGTCATGAATTATACGAAATAAATACGAATTTATTGTTCTATTTAAATTAAATTGTTGAATACAAAACTGCAACGTTACTATTACGTTGATTGTTTGGTGGCTTGGCCATTGGCCGCTTAGTTGTTTAATTGCTAGTATACTGTAGATATTAAATATTATTGAATAATAATGATGAATCCTGTGTCACAAAAACCACATTTGTGAATAGAGACTTTTCACACAACCGCAACTAAGGTACAGTCAATGAACGAGTTTTCGACTCGTTCAATGAACGAGTTTTCGACTCGTTCATTGGCGATGATGACTCAGTGATTGATAAAAATGATAGGCTAGCCAGACTAAACTTTGGAAATTTAGTTTGCAAAATGTAGACCTGTATTTATCTTCAGTAAGCTTTATTTGTTGGCCCCAGTGAAGTCTGGATTGTCTACGATCAATGCATGAATAAAATCAATGAAGATTTTCAGTTTTTTTAATGGATAGGAATCACCTTTTTTCTCATATGAAATGTTTAGGAAACAACACACAAAACGTTATTGTATTAGCAAACAATTTAAAGACTGTATTTAGGTTATGTCAAACAATGACTTTAATACAATGTTTCAGCAATATCAGTATCGTTATTTGGTTTAACATAAATACGTATTTATGGTTCTACAATAACAAAATTGAGAATACCAATCTGTAATGTTATTATTATTATTATTATTATTACTTAAACATTTTTAGCTGGATATAGCATTTTTTTTCCTAGTAAGAAATTTACTTTAAGTTAGTAATTCATCAGAAGAGGTGAGAGATTTGCCAAAGGTATGGATGAGAAAGCTTACAGTAGAGGTTTGGTATTTTCTGACTGCGAAAGAAATAAGACAGGGGTGGAAACTTTTTTTCGGAGGATTTGAAAAGTTTTATTCTGATGTGTGTCGTTTTCGATACGTTCTTTGGATTGTATCACTCATAAATACAGTATTTCACCTTCCCTCAGTCGAGGGAAGGTGTAAAAATATCTCTACCATATTGTGCTTAATAAATGCAGCTGCGTCTGTCTCACTTACTTTTCCTGTCAATGAACCATGAGGACGAACAGCCCCTGTATACATTTGCATCACATTCGGGTTAAAATTCTTCTTGTTAAGTTCAGAAAATGCACGGGTAAGATAATGATACCGATCTCCAAGGTTTAAGAGAACCTGAAATTTTCGAAATGGTTGAATACATAAACATTATCCAACAACAAAAGTGTATGATTCACAATGTTAGAAATGAAGGTTTTTCCTTATTTTATGAAAATTATTTTGATACATCTTTAAAGATTGGATTAGATACTTAGCTAGGTGCGATATGCATTATCATGAGAGGCATATTTGCGTTGTTTGGGAATGTATAGAGAAATGAAGGAGAGACGGTTGAGAAAACCTTGGTACGCTACATTGAAAGAGTAGGAGAAAGTCGTACACATCATCGGAAGGAATTACAAGAGCCGTGAGGGTGAAAACTTCAGACTGGAAGAAGACTAACAAGCAGTAATTGAGGCACAGCATTTTCAGCTGCCTCCTAAGGAATGTAAAGGTTGGTAGTATGTAGGCCTACACAGTTTTGACCTCGTATTTTAAAACATACTTACTCGTTCTATATGTTTAATTCCATCATTTCTGTTGGCGTGATAAACGTTGAATGTTCCGTCATTGCCACCTCCATCATATGAAAAGACTAATGCATTATTAAATGGGGAATCGTAGTATCCGATGGCAGCATGACTGTCATGGTGGTTGGCCGTCACCCACCTAAATACAAAAACCAATGGTTTGTGATGGAATTACGATTACAACACATTATTATGTGCACGCGGGACTGGATTACTGAATTTACATGACCGTTTAATAACTTGTCACTTGGTTTGGACGGCAGAAAAATAGAACATGAGCAACTCCTTACGATTTGTTGCTTTCAATCGTAAGGAGTGCTCATGTCGCCTAGAATCCCGCGACTAAAAGTTGCTCACCAGTTGTTGGATAAGTTTCAAAGATCAGTTAATATCAGTTGAGTCGCAATGGAGACACCAGTTTGAGTGGTATTTTTATAATAATGTATAACAAATAGAACTAGAGCAGTCACTCCATGGATGCATACCTTTGTACTCTACCTGGATACCCTACCTAGATACTCTACCTGGATACCGAGCAAACGCAGGCCGCATGGGCTACTCCATATTTTATTTTCTTATCAAGAATAAATTCAAATGAAAAATCAAATTGTTCTCGTCCTTTGAAGTTTTCTTCCCAAAGTGTAATCATCTCCTTCTTTGATTATTATGTACCATTCCACTAAATTGTATGATGATCCATTCCTTTGTTTTGTTTTTTTCGTAATCTTGCTAACAGACAGACAGACAAACAGAAGGAATGCATAACCTCATTGGCGGAGGTAATAACTCATGTTTATGATTATATATTGAGATGACCTCAATCCTACTGTATGTACTCACCGATCAGCTTTGACCAGGGTCTTAAAAAGTTCAAGAGGAGTTGGCAACACCCTTTAAGATAAAGTGAGCCAAAGTTCATACTTAGTACAAGCAGTATATTAAAACATTATTTCAATGTTGTTCATCTCAAAAAATGTTTATTTTAAATATGTAATCGCGTTATTTTATATATAATTGATTTTATTATTTGAAAGCTCATCTTTTTTCAAAATAAATATAATAGTTTATTCTATACGGCAGCCAGAGTTCTAATCCATGTGTATAGTATTAAATTTAGTTTCCATTTCAAATTAAATAAGAGGGCACCTTTTTGTCAACATTGCTGTTAAGAGCTACCCTCGTATTTATTTTTGAATCATGTTGAATAAATATAATAATCACATGAAATAAACAGACATACCAAATTGTAACAGCAATATCATATTCGTAAATTTCGGTAAACGCCTGAACCTTTTCTATTGCTTCTCTCCATTGAGTTAGGAACTCATTCCGCTTCCTGTTTAAAACAATTCAAAGCAGAAGATAAATTAGGAAACAGCTACTAAACAATGTGATTATGTTGTTACATATACAGAAACCAAGGAAGGCTACCATATTTGTCACTATTAACACCGAAGTATATCTGGCAGACAGGCATAACAGAGACAAAGTCAAATTTTCATTATCAAAATGATCAAAATTATTTCTGAAACGTTGTCACCATCCTCCCTTGAACTATGAGATTTCAACTTTATTTTCCACAAATGATCAATCAACTATTTCTTATAGTGTTGGAAAAAATTATCTGAAGAATTATTATTATTTTATCACACGCAAGCAATTCAATCCAGTGCTGGTGGAAATTCATGATCGACCTCTTTAACCAGCTTAGTTGGGATGTTGTCGGGGCCATTTTGCAAGAAGCTTGAACATTCACCTAGATGTTTAGTTTCTTAGGAAAAGGACTGGTCCCCATATTGTAAGAAGGTACAGCCTTCGTCCATAAGCACTGATGCAAAGTGTTGGCTTTGTATGTGAGCCTTTGTTTTGCCTTTTCCAAATGGTATACCATCACGCTTCAGTGGAGCAACGCAAATGTTATTACATATTTTTTGTTTTTAATAAAATTCCGAAACGTCTGTGGAGTTAGGCTAAAGTTCTCACCAAAGATGTTGTCAAGAAAGGCGCCAGGCTCTTCCTTCACTCAGTTTGGTTTGTTCTTTTCAGTGTTTTGCTAAACATTGGGATATATTTTCACAAAAATATTTCGTAATGACTTGACATGGGTTTTGATGAGCTGGAATATTTTGAGTTTGTTTTTGGTTTCGTTTGGATAATATTCAGTGACCTTCAAATGAGAAATTCGAATAACATGTAAAAGTTTTAGAACTCTATTAAATCGTTCATTAAGTCAGTCTCTTAAACTTTAAACAACTAACAATTACTAACTTTAGAAGTAAGTACACTTACGCTGGACTGCAATAATATCTTATTTGAAACAACCCTTTAACAAAAAAGAGAAAAAGAAAATGACATTAGGCCTATTCAGTCATATTATTTATTTAAACGTTTATCACATAACATTGTAATATACAATTACTGTGAAATATGGAATAACTAATACCTGCCTTTTTAGTATAGTTTTTGCATTGTGTAATAGTTAATTTAAGAAGGCATGGCAGAACGTGAGCGAGCGAAACAATCAATAATACAAACGTGGCGTTGGGGGAGAGCAGCATGCCGTCGAGAAGGAAAACATAATTCGTCGTGGAGAGAAACGTGTATATGTAATTTTAAATATGTTCAGACTCTAAAATTTATTAAATAGCCTTTGAAATTGTAATATATTTTTCGGAGACGGAAAAGTGGTTTGAGACGGCCCGACTAATTTGAAGCTCGGTTTCCATAGAATCGCTCAACTTTGCCGATTTCGTTTCAGGCGAATCAGGGTGCATTGCTAGCTGCCCTGACGCAATCGGGAAGGCACCCCGATTCGTCTCACCGCAAGCGGCAAAGTTGAACCAAGCTGAACCTTCCCGACAGCTGTCGGCGACTGTCGTTCGATTGGGTGAGCGATTCTATGGAAACCAAGCTTAAAGGGACAAGCGGGGATGATGATCATGATGATGAGTTGTTAAATCAACAGAGACCGCGACATGCTCAAAGACTGCAGAACAAGTCAGGAAAGTTACTTGAGTTGTTTTAATAAATTATAAGTTTTTTTTTCTGACTTTCTATTTCTTTCATATGCATATTTTCCGACGTTAAATGCAGAAAAAGACAAAATATCTTCTTTTTAACCTTGTTGTTAATCGTATATGATACTTTTGCTTGAATTTGCATAATTGATATATGCAGAATCTATACGTACTATAATGGAAAGATACACTGCATTAATTATTAATGATTTATTAAAATTTATTTCTAGACGGGATATGCTTAAAAGCATTTTTGACAATTGAATAATTTCTATACATGATATTGCGTTTCTGTTTGGCATATTTATCGAAATAGAATTTATTGAAATGCCATCACATCAACGGAGTGTTTTCCTTGAATAAATTCATTTATAAATAGTAGTGTATTCGCCAATTATTTTTCCATAGAAAGATATTCTGCATTATTATTACATTTATAAATTTGAATATGGATGTGATTAAAAAATTTACTGACAATTGATCATTTCCCATAAAACGAGTGTTTCGTTGAATTATTTATCATTTTTTGTGACCTTTTATTCTTTTTCATATGCATATTTTCTGAAGGTAAATATGGAAAAAGAAAAAATGTCGTATAGGCATATTAATTTTTGTTTGAGAAAGGATATCATATATTACCCTATAGAAAAATATTGCATTGTTAATTACAGGAATAAATTTCATTCTAGATTCAATAAACTAAATATGTGGAAAATTTACAAATATCTATTATATAAGGTTTTCAAATTTCTTTTTTTAAACCTCATTGTTAATCGTATATTATACTTTTGTTTGATTGTTTATAATTGATATATTTCCTATGAAGTTATTGTAGAACAGAAAAGTTTAAGGAGGAATGGTGATTACTGAGACTTTCTAGTTTGTAATTTTGCTCATGCATTTTTTTCTAAAAAGAAAATCTTACTGTTATGTTCCAGCCTAAAAAAAAGAGCAAATGAAAGTTTTCTAAGTATTTATAATAAGTTATGCTTTGCTTCTGTATGACTTATTTTTGTGTTGAACTTTGGGGTTTTTTTATTTTTTCTTTGCCACCAAAATGTGCTGTTTGTATTGTTAAAAAAAAAAATAGATACATGAATATGCTTTGATGAGAGCATAAAATTCTTAATCTATAGGACTGGAATTTACATAGTCTTGCTTATTTGAACTGTTGTTTTTGTACTACATTAAATATACCTTGCAGTAAGCATCTTTACCCGGCTGAGGTAGGCCTAACTATTGTCTCAGCAAGGTAATTCAACAAAAGGACGCACATCTCGGGACATCAAAGGTTATAACTCTGGCATCGACATTCTAGGCGCACGTGCGTCCCTACACGCTGAACGTCACAAAAACCATAGCAACCAGACCATAAACCGTCAGCGTACGTGACGATTTACCCACGCGCGTGTTAGTTGCCATGTTAGTCGCGCGTCGTGCGGTGACTACAAAGGCCTAATGATATTTTGCACTAACATTAGACTGAAATATATTCTTCATTTCAACATTAATTTTACCAAAATTGTGGTGAATTGTCGTTCATGAGACTCACTTCGCAGAAAAAATTAATAAATGTTCCGTATATAAGATGTGTATAAGAGACAGAACTTAGCTTACCTGCATTGAAATTTTGAAAATTAAATTGAGAAACGAAGCTAAATTGCAGTTACCATCGTTAATATCCAATGAAACTTAACATAGTCTCAAATATTTAATTTGTGGGCTTAATTTGCCAAGGGTATGAGACTTAGATTTGCACAGATAGGCCTGAATATGTGATATAACCACAAAGTTTATGGATTTGCAAAGATTTAGCGAGCATCACTACTTTTTATTTATTTCATTTTATTAAACCATATTTAAAGAGAGTGACCCTTCCAGCTAAGGCAAGGAGGTCAGCTGATATTCAGGGGCTCTCTTTAAAAAATGAAATACAAGAAAATTCAATACATCAAATAGGTAAAGAATGTAAGTAAAAGGTAAACAATAGAAAGCAGACAGTGCAGAATACTGTCAGGTATAAAATAGTCAGCTATCTAACAGGTGATTATACACCTTTGCTTAGTAACACTAAATTGGATCATTTCAAAAGAACCATGGAAAAGACCCAATAATAAAACAAGTGTCACCAAATCTGTGAAATGGATAATTCCAAGTTTTATTTATTTTCTTTGTATTTGAGATGTCATTGCTAAGAAATACCTCCATGTAGCATGCTAGCTAATATCTGTCTCTTATACACATCTAGATGTGTATAAGAGACAGACCTATATGTATATAAATAAATTTATGCTGATAAGGTCTTGAAGCAAAAGAAAAAAATATTTTACTGACTAAATATATGATACGTTCTATCTTTACGCAAAACGATATAGAGTTTATTTCCATTATGTCATTTGCATTTTTTCCTTCATATTTCTTCATATATAGGCCTAAGCCTTTTAGGTGCTCCGTACATTGCTGTCTCAATTATTGCAAAGAAACTACAATGGCTGAGTGACCAATCTGTCAAAAAGCCTTGCCGTTATTTTAAAAAAAAAAAAAGCCACTGGAATGTTGGATTCGCCGAATATTTTCATCGGACGAAATGCAGCCGCCAAATGCACTGTGGGTTAGCATATATACGACACCCTTTTTGGAGGGAACGAAATATTTTTTCGACGGAAACAAAATATTATTTATGTCAAATAGACACGCCGCAATAAGGAAAACGGTTACACTGTATTGCATGATATTGTCATTTAATCATCAATGACGAAAATTGAAATTTGAAGTACCGGTACAAAGAATAGGTCAGCATTGATATGATAAAGTTTACTAAAATGCTGAACATACAGCAAATAATGCAATAGTTATTTCTACCAGTTGGAACTAAAAATTGTTATCGGAAAAGCCCCATAGGCTATACTTGGAGTTGCAAAAAAATGAAACTTAATAACGAATATAAACATCAAATAGTAACATTTCCACAGTGTTGTAAAGACTGGTTCCACACTTGTAGGTGGCGCCAGCGGGGGTGGGGAGTCTGGTATGGGGCCAAAACCACAACTCGTCAGAGAGAAAAGAAAGTTTGTATATATTTTCTACATGTTAATAGACTATAAATTCGATTAAATAAGCCTTTGAAACCATTAAACTGTTAAATTTTTCAGGGGCTTCGCCTCCTGGAACACACGCCTACCTTTTTTCGTGGGAGACATGGGCGTCCCCCCCCCCACGTCGGCGACATTGGACCCCCTCGTCGGGAAAATTCTGGTGCCACCCCTGTACAATTGGAGGGGTAGGAAGGAGTGGTGGTGGGAACTATTTATTTTTTTTGTAGTGTTTTTCAATTGCGGTCTAAAATGCAAAAGACCATTCTTTTCTCTTCGTTTGACAAACCAGTTTCACAAATAAATCTAATTTAATATGCAGCGCCAAAAATATCGGTCTCAAACCGCAACCAAAACGAATATAAAAACAGGCGTGTGATGCCTGCCTGCATAAATGGCTCTTCCTTATCATGCTTCATGAACAGCTGGTTTTCGAAGGAACGAAATAATTTAATATTGTTTCTAACCATGTCCCTTAAGTTTTATTGATTTTCATGAAGATAAACACTGCTAAAAATCTTACCTGAAAGGTGACAAGCGAGCTATAAAAAAAAATGTCTAAATCAAATAAAGACTCAATAATTAACTACCAGTTTCAGTTTCTTACCAGTTTCAGCTCCGTGGTCTAACAAACAATTCTACTCCTTATAAACGAGTAGACTACTACATTAATAAGTGGTTATGTAGACTAGACCAATTTTTATCATTAAACAGCTCCCTCAAACCCATAGTAAGCGGTTAGCCAATCAGGCAACTATAAATTACTAATTAATATCGTTTCAGATTACGTATAATATTTGCACTCACTTTGTCCAGAGGTATACAATTAAATAGTAATATACTGTATACAATATTAGACAATAACACAGACAAATCCATTAATCACAACAGGACACAAATATAGGCTTGCCAAATGGGAAAACATGATGAAATTCCAATCGACGAAATGTCAATTGATGTGTGCTTCTAAGAAACGTAAGAAGAATGATATGCCTAACTATGTAAATCAAGATGATTTAACTATAAATTAAAGTAAAATTTTAATAGAATTATTATTATTATTATTATTATTATTAGTATTATTATTATCATTTGTTTATATACAATATACATATAATACGTATATGTGGCGCTGTCTTCACTGCTGGACACCAGTCTTCTTCGTTGGTTGTCGTTTTTGCGTTGTATTTTGGTGTATTTTTCATTTTGTTGTATCCTGTTTGGTATAGTGTGTTTTTTGAATGTCTGTACTACTTAATCTTGATGGTTGTAATGTGGATTTTGTGCTGTATTTTGCTGTTTAATTGAGTTATTTACTAGGCCTAATAACGTACCGTACCCGTGTCATACTGAACAATGGACATCGGCCTCGATATACATAAGGACAAGATCCGCGAGTGCAACTGTGAACGTAGACATAGGCCTCGTGGAAAACGCGGCGGACGAAAACTACGCCGGAAAATTAAAGTTTTAGTTTCTGTTCGTCGTAATCAACAAATGACTTATCGTGGGCGTAATCATAGGAATTTAATAAGCATTAAACGTTTGAATAGCGTACAAAAGGAGGAAGTTTGCTGCCCGAAAATCTTATACACCAACCCGAGATCAATCAAAAACAAAATTGATGAGTTTTATTGTACGTTGAAAACATATGATGCCAAGATTGCGGTGATAACTGAGTCGTGGCTGAATGATGATAATGAAGAATTTATTAATGTTCCTGGTTACCAAATTATTTGTAAGAATCGTAGATTTCGTAGAGGTGGTGGAGTGGCCATTTTTGTGGACGAAAATTTGCATATGAATGGCATCGACGTGCATACCGCATGCCAGTTTGAATGCATATGGAATAAAATTTCCTACAATAGAGGGAAAAGGTTGGAATCTGTTTACATTGGTGACATTTACTATCCACCTTCAGCCAATTATGGTGACGAACTCATTGATCATATTTCAGCCACTGTTGATGGGATCCGTGAAAACGATCTTTACGCTAACATTTTAATTTTTGGCGATTTTAATCATCTAGATACGAACCCAGTTTGCAATGACTTGTTTATGACACAACTCATACATTTTAACACTAGACAAGATGCGATCCTTGATAAAGTTTTTGTGACTAATCCTGATCTATATAAGCAGACCCGTCGCCTTGCCCCGATAGGTAGCAGTGACCATTGTTGTGTTCTAATTGAACCAAAAAGAGTTTACAAGTGTTCGGCATCAAGTAAGATATCTATCAGGCCATATACTGATTCAGCTGTTAGGCAATTTGGTCAGTGGATTACAACACATAAATGGAATTTTGTTGATAAGGTTTGTACCGCCAATGATAAAGTTGCTAGCTTTTCATCTTTACTCAAAGGAAAATTTATGTCATGCTTTCCTATTAAGATTTTCAAGAAACGTTCTGCTGATAAACCGTGGATAACTCCTAAAGTTCGACAAATTCTTGATGAGAGGCAGGAAGCTTTTGATCGTAATCATATACAGCGCTGGCGACAACTCCGAAACGCTGCGCAAAGGGCAATATCCCATGCCAAGGCAAGTTTTTACGCCAATTCCATTGTTTACCTCAAACGTAATGATCCTAAAAAATGGTATAAAGGCATATCTAACATGTGTAATATTAAGAGAAAGGAAACTTTTAATATCCCGGGGCACACGCCTAATGAAACAGCTGAAATTATTAATAGACACTTTGCGAATGTTTGCTCGGAACTGCCCATGTTACAACCTTCGAAGTTACCAGCGTACTTACCAGCTCAAAAACCACCTACAATCTACCCAGGTCAAGTGAAATGACCTAACATTGGGGGAAGTAGTGAATGCTAAAAAGGGAGATCAAAAAATGCAATCAATTCTTGATGATGTTAGCTTGTGGTGCGCTGACAATAGTATGCTTCCTAAACCCAGTAAATGTCATATTGTGAGAGTGTCGTTTTTACAATCCCGTACTCCTGACCCCTTTTTTACCCTTAATGACCAGGTCATTGATGTGGTCGATTCTATGAAGTTATTAGGTGTAATTATTCAAAATGATTTAAAATGGGACAAACATGTGAATGAATGTATCTCTAAAGCTTCTAAGCGCCTTTTTACGCTTTCAGTTCTAAGGAAAGCTAAAGCCTCTGTAAATGATTTTTTATGCGTTTTCATTACTTACATTCGTCCTGTTTTGGAATACGCATGCCCATTGTGGCATAGTTCTTTAACCATTATCCAACGAAATAGAATTGAGCGGGTTCAAAAGAGGGCGGTTAGGAGTATTTTTGGTATGGATTACTGTAGTTATGATAATGCTTTAATATTGTCCGGGCTCTCTTCTCTTAATACTAGGAGAGAAAATTTATTTGAGAAATAATAATTTACTTAGTGTTCCTTTGTGTAGGACACAACGATGGAAAAGCTCCACCATTCCTAAAATTATTGATGGCATTAATAATTCTAAAGTTAAATTGAATTTGGATATTTTTCATCCATAATTCAACACTATAAGATAAGAATAATGATGAGTATAATAATGATAATAATAATGATAATGTTGGTGGATGATAGGCCTGGTTGTTTGTATCTTTTGTGTATTGCTTTTGGATGTTGCTTTTGTTTTCTTGTACTGTTTTTGTGTATCTTGCCTTTTTACTGTTTTCTTAATTGTTCACAGAGATTTCAGCTTATGCTGCCCTCTGTTTTTAATGTATTTTATTGGTGAATAATAAATAAACCTGAATATAAAAATACAACGGACAGCAGCGAAAAGGAAGGGATGAACAGGTGACAAGCAGTGTAGGCTATACCTGCAATAAATCACCTAAACTAATGTCTAAACCAAGCATGTTTTTAATTTAATTATTTTTTCTTTAAAGTTCATGTACAGTGTATGAATGTAAAAGAAGCCCATGAGCCTATCTTGAAAAGAAGCCCATGGGATTTTTTCGAGGTGGGCCATTTTTTTAGGCTATTTTTTGCAAATTGTGAAGAGGGGGCTTCAATTCGAGATGGGCATCTGCTCGAGATTAAAACCATTGGGCTTCTATTCGAGGTCTTACGGTATTGCGAAAAGCCGGCTAAACAATATTAGATACTGATAAGGAGAAATGAGGTAAAATCTTTGAAATTTTATATTTTGCGTCACTCAAACAGTTTGCGATTTTGCGTCTTTCATTAATAATTTTGATTGGGATAGATCTAGTGGTCCGAATCTACCAAATATGGTCTGGCGATGGGCCGATTCTCTGAAAAAATCATTTGCCACTTCTAGTAAACGTAAGCCACTTGCCCTGTCTTTGTGTACATATAATACTGTACCATCAAATGATTGAGGCGGTTTTGCGTCATAGTTGTTCGTAGATAAGTCTTCACACGCCAGAGAGAGCTGAACGATCTTTCACTTGTAGCATTGATAGCTGGCATGACCACTAGTGGTTAGTGTTCTCAAGTAAGTCAGAATATCGGAAAGTGAGCTGCATGATACAGCATTACTAGAAAAAATGTGCTACAAAGATAGCGCTGGTTTTCTATTAGACCCTACTTTTACAAATTAATTTATTAGACCGAATCTCTTAAGATTTTACAAAATAATTAAAAACACATAATATTATTACCTGCTTTGACGCCATCATACAGTATTGGTCACTGTCTAGACTATGATACCGTTAAATATTCTTGGAAAAATATGCAGTAGGCATCATGTATTATCATCCTGACGTTCAAAATCAGTGTATTGAAGGTAACCAAGTATGCGCGTGTCATTGTACAGTCTTATTTCGATAAGTGTACAAAACTGAAATCCCATTACAAAGGTTACGATATAAAAGAAATTTGATGTACACGTTATTACGTAGGTTTGATACTTAATTTCTTTTTATTTTATTTGTTTTTTTATTTTTTTTTTGTTTTGTTTTGTTTTTTTGGACAAAAAGTGGTCCGGCCATAGCCAGTGCCTCTGGTGCGGTTCCGACGGCCCTGCTACTGCATAATTTTCCAATCTTTCTTTGTTAGTACAGTGTTAGGAGGAATAGTTTCTCATCCAGGGACATTCCTGTTGCTTTGTTTATGGCGTGGTGACAGACTACAAGATGTATAGCAAAAAGCTTGAAGTATTTTAGTCGAGATTACGACTCGGTATTCCCATAATCAATTCGGATATCCAAATTGTGTACTACGATTATAGGCCTGTATTTATAAAATAGTAGTAAATAATTATAATAGTAAGTAGTAAAACAGGTAATAATGATGATAATAATAATAATGATAATAAAAATGATGATAATAATAATAATAATAATTATTATTATTATTATTATTATTATTATTATTAATATTATTATTATTATTATTATTATTATTATTAAAAATAACCAAATAGTCACATAATGTGCAAATGTAATAATCCATGTTTTTGTATGTTTTCTCGAAACTCAGGAAAAAGCTGAGTCCCGTAAGGAAAGAGGACGAACTCTTTTTAGTTTTGGTCATTTACAGCTAAATAAAAAAACCCAGAGTTTCAAATCGTGAGAATGAAAATGGTAAGGGCGTATATA